AAAAAATAAGTTTCAAAACTTACAAAAAAAAGCCCAAAAATTTACAAATACCCCCTTGTAAAATAGAAAATTACAAACAAGCCGCAACAATTCTAAAACTACAAAAAAACCTTAAATTTTTCAAAAATTGTAAAAATATCGAAAAAATTCAAAACTTATAAATAAGCCTAAAAATCTCAAACTTCACAAGAAGCCCCCTGAAATTTTTGAATTTACAGAAATCACATTAAAATTTAAAAAAATACAAAAAAAACAACCTAAAAAACAAACTAAAAACAAACTGAAAATGTTAAATTTAATACATTACTCTGAAATTAGGGAAATGCACAAACACCCCAAAAAGTTTAAGAATTTGTAGAAAACACCCTAAAACTTTAAAAACTTGTAAAAACACCATAAAATTATAAATTTACAAAAAAATAAAAATTTTAAATATAGAACAATAAACTAAAAATTAAGACTTACAAACTGCACCCTTAGAAGTTTTTAGTCTATAAAAAAACCCGTAAAACTTTTAAATTGTGGCAAAAAAACACTCACAAATTTAAAACTTATGAAAAAAGCTTGAAAATTTCAAACATAAAACAAAACACTAAAAATTTATGAATTGTAAACAGCCCCTTAAAAATTTAGAATAAGTAAAAAAATCCTGAAATTTCAAAGTTACAATAAACACCTCAAAATTTTAAATTTTACAAAAAAAACTAAATATTTCAAATCTACAAATTGTACATTGGAAATCTTGGAATTAATAACCCATTAAAAATTTTGGGATTTGCATAAAAAAACTAAAACATTTAAAACTTACGAAAACACATTTAAATTTTCAAAGTTTATAAAAAGAGCCTGAACATCAAACCAAGAACAGTACACTAAAGAAACTAAGAATTAATAGTCCCCTCTGAATTTTTTTTTTTTGCAAAAAATAGCTTAAAACATTCAAAAGTTTCAAAAGCACCCTAAAATGCAAAATTTTCTAGAACCTCCTTGAAACTTTTTAACCTGCAAACAATAAATTGAAAATCAAGGATTATAAACAGCCCCTTGAAAATTTAAGAATTTACAAAAAAACACCATATAACTTTCAAAATTTATAAAAACACCCTAATTTTTTTTGAAATTTATAAGAAACTACCCAAAAAATAAAAATTAGAGAGAAGCATTTTATTATAATTTTAATTTTTGAGGCAGTTTTTAACAATTTTTAAAACTTTAGGGTGTTTTCTACAAAATCAAAAACTTTTAGGGGCTACTTGCAGTTCCTGGATTTTCTACATACTTGTTGTAGGTTTAAAATTCTCATGGTATTTTTTATAAGTTTTAAATTTAGAAGGTATTTTCTGCAACTTTTGAAAGTTTTAGAGTGTTTCTTGCAAATCCCAAAATTTTCAAAGTGCTGGTTGTAATCCTAGTTTTAAATTATTATATGTGGGTTTGATGATTTTTCTATAAGTTTTAAGTTTTTGAGGATTTATTTTGTAACTTTTAAAAACTTTAGGATGCTTTCTAAAAATTTGAAATTGTTTAGGGGGTAAATTTTCTTTATACTGTATTCATTTTGAGAATTTCAGGCTTTTTTCTTTACAAATTTTGAATTTTTAGGTCTTTTTTGCAATTTTTAAAATTTTCAGAGTGTTGTCTGCAAATCTAAAAAAATTTAGGGGCTGTTTATAAGGTTTGTAATTGTAGTGTTATTTATATGTTATAAATTATGAGTGTGTTTTTATAAAATTTTTTTTGAATATTCTGAGTTGAGAGTGGAGAGATCAATCGAAGGTTAAGTTTTACTCTCATTGAAAGTTTATATCTATCATAGGAATGTTCCCCCTTTTAACCTTTTCTAGGATAATAATTACATGTTAAAACACCGATTTCTTTAACCTCATACCAAACGAGCCCTTAGTGTTAAACAAGAATGAGCACTGGATACAGCTTAGATTTGATACTTATCATATATGTATTCACTTATCAATTACGGATACATATACAGATATGTATACACCTCAATAAGAAAAAAATTTATTTGTATACCTTAAAATCATATATGGTTATGGATACATGTGGATATATAAGAAAATATACATGTAAATATAAAATGAATATGAAAAAAATAAGATAATATTAAAATATATATATATAGTTCAAATGATACAAAGAGTTCATTAATATGTTCCTTATTTCGTAAAAGTTAAGATCATATCTCTTGATCATCAAAATTAACTTCAAATATATTGCTCTAAGGATTAAAATTATTGCAACTGTATGACCAACTTATATTCAAATATTTCGAATGCGATTCTAGATATTTCACTATATATCTATAGATGTAATCATATTCTATCTAATATAAATTTTAGTAAATATATATGTATCTTGACGGATACGTAAGGATATTCTCTTGGATACGGAAATCTTTTAAACCCCAAATGGTGAGTCCATCATCCTCGTTTAATAAGCTATCCTTACAAGGCAATAGGTCAAAAGTTCAAGAAAGTGGATCAATATATTTTTGGTGGAATTACTATGCTTGTTTAGCGAAGTGAAAGTATATTAACGAAATTGTTAAAGTCACGTGTATTAATGTAATTGTTAAAGTCAACTTTTATTTTTCAACTGTCAAAGTGCACCATTGTTATATGTAAGTGAAATATAGTGTTTGTTTGTGAGGCAAGTTAGTAAAAGCAAATTGTAAGTAGTAGAAGTAAAGATGATTTATCTAACCATTTTATTTAAAGGAAAAATGGTATCAATGCCCCCCAAAACAAAGCTCATGTGGCCCAGCCCCATAGACTTTTCTCCATGTTATTTAGCTCCAAAAAACCCAACATCTTATGGCCTAGTTCTAAAAGCCCATATGTATGTATATATGTTGTATGTATTTGTGCTCCTCTTTCGAAACCGCTCTCTTCTCACGCAAAACAAACCCAAGAGTCAACCACCCCCTTTGCTATAAATGCAACTTGATGGCAAAAATAAAGGAAAAATGCTGTTTTCCCTCCATTAATGCTCTCTCTCATCGTCTATTATCTTTTTTATTGTTTTACTCTCTCATTTATGGTATTATGGTTTTGTTCTTCAACTTTTAACAACCCCTCAAGTCCTAAAAATTTCCTCAATTACTCCTCATAACTAGCCTCCATACTAATGGCCATTAATGATCCCATTTGCATGATGTCCTTATGCAAGAAACCTATATTCTCTATTATAAGTTCTAAAACAAGCTTCTTTGAACTAAAATTTGATGTGTTTCAAAGGTTGAAAGTTCTTTAGGATGCTTTATTATTGATATATAAATTTGATAGGTTCAACTGCCTACTTCTCTTCCCCTCAAGCTAACCAAGGGACTCCTCATCAAGGGCCAAGATGATCTCGGACGGCTCGATGCGAGGGATGTCTGGAGTAGAAGGAGGATGTTGGTCAATTTTCTGGACCAAGGGAGTGTCTGCCTCTGCTACTTCTCCTATACCAACCCGAGTTAGCTCGACACCCCCAGAAGGACCTCAGTTGCTCACCTTCCACAACCTTCTCCTCTTCTTCTCTAACCTCTAAGCCTGAGTAGTAGCACTCGGCCTCGCCAACCGAGCTGCAATCTCGACATCACTAGCTGCTAATTCCTTGGCCTCTGCAGGGGCTAACTTGTACCTTAGGCTTGTCTGGAGCCTAATTAATGACCCTAGCCACGTCTCGTCTGACTCCTTTAGTGGAAGAGCCAGGACCGCTACTTGGATGTTGTCTTCCTCAGTCGGTAGGATTTTGGATATGCCAGCCATTCGCAAAACCATCATGTCAAATAGGTTCTCGATCCTTCAAGACCAAGCATAGGCTCGAATCATCTGTAGCCCTTGTTTCTCCTCAGCCGTGAGCAGACCCAGCTTCAACACATCTTTCCTGATCTCAGGCCAGGTCGAACAAGCCAAGATGGCTCAACTCCGAAGACCCACATAAAATTTTCCTTCTAGTCCTTGTTCAAGTTAGGGTTGTTCGGCACGACTTTGAAGCCGCCCAAGTTCTAGAAGTAGTAGTGCCCCCTTCTTCCCCGTCCTGACACTAAGGAGGTGGCCAAATATGCGTAGAGTTGGATCAACTCTAACTCAATCGAGTTCGGTTTGGTTTGTGAGGGAGACACCCCCAAAGCCTCGAAAACATGGCGGGGGAAGGGGTGGATCATCAGTTAGAGTCCGTACACCAAGTGCCTCAAGTAGATTGAAGCCATCACACCACTGTGATCATACATAGCCTGACCCATCTTCGATGCAGACAAGGTGAAAGCTTGGGGAAGATCGTAGCTGTCATAGTAGGCCTCGAGTTCTATTGCGTAGAGCTTTGAATAGAATGACCTAAGGAGGTTAATCCTCATCTTGTTGTGGCTGGCGGTGGAAGCAGTGAAAGCCATCAAAGATCGTCAGAATGTTGGTCAGAAATCACCTGAAGTAGAGAGCTAGGGTTCAAAATTCAGAGAGTTTGTAAACAAAGTCTCTCTGCAAAAACAAGATATATGTAGGATCAGAGATGGACATGTGTTA